CCCCCTTCCTGTTTTCTTATTTATTTATTGATTGATTGATTGCATATAAGTCACACTTAATTGTTTCAGATCATCAAATAAATTTTAATATCAGACAACAATAACATGAGTAAATACAAAGTGAATTTTTAAGTATCAGTTTAATTTATTAAAGAAAGAAAGTTATCCAAACCTACCTGTGTCTATGCGAAAAAGCAATTGGCACTTTAACCTAATAACTGATTGTGTCACCTTGAGGAGCAAGAACTGGAACAGGATTTTGGCCCACTCAAACTTTCCTAAAGGTTCAACCTTTGTGTCGTCAGTCCACATGATATTTTCCCAAAAAGTCTTGGGGATCATTAAGATGGTTTTTGGCAATGTTTTTTTCCCCTTGGAACTGATCTGATATACAGTGGGGCAAAAAAGTATTTAGTCAGCCACCGATTGTGCAAGTTCCCCCACTTAAAATGATGACAGAGGTCAGTAATTTGCACCAGAGGTACACTTCAACTGTGAGAGACAGAATGTGAAAGAAAAATCCATGAATTCACATGGTAGGATTTGTAAAGAATTTATTCGTAAATTAGGGTGGAAAATAAGTATTTGGTCACCTCAAACAAGGAAAATCTCTGGCTCTCACAGACCTGTAACGTCTTCTGTAAGAAGCTTTTCTGTCCCCCACTCGTTACCTGTATGAATGGCACCTGTTTGAACTCATCATCTGTATAAAAGACACCTGTCCACAGCCTCAAACAGTCAGACTCCAAACTCCGCCATGGCCAAGACCAAAGAGCTTTCGAAGGACACCAGGAAAAGTATTGTAGACCTGCACCAGACTGGGAAGAGTGAATCTACAATAGGCAAGCAGCTTGGTGTGAAAAAATCAACTGTGGGAGCAATCATCAGAAAATGGAAGACATACAAGACCACTGATAATCTCCCTCGATCTGGGGCTCCACGCAAGATCTCATCCCGTGGGGTCAAAATGATCATGAGAACGGTGAGCAAAGATCCCAGAACCACACGGGGGGACCTGGTGAATGACCTGCAGAGAGCTGGGACCAAAGTAACAAAGGTCACCATCAGTAACACACTACAACGGCAGGGAATCAAATCCCGCAGTGCCAGACGTGTTCCGCTGCTGAAGCCAGTGCATGTCCAGGCCCGTCTGAAGTTTGCCAGAGAGCACATGGATGATACAGCAGAGGATTGGGAGAATGTCATGTGGTCAGATGAAACCAAAGTAGAACTTTTTGGTATAAACTCAACTCGTCGTGTTTGGAGGAAGAAGAATACTGAGTTGCATCCCAAGAACACCATACCTACTGTGAAGCATGGGGGTGGAAACATCATGCTATGGGGCTGTTTTTCTGCCAAGGGGACAGGACGACTGATCCGTGTTAAGGACAGAATGAATGGGGCCATGTATCGTGAGATTTTGAGCCAAAACCTCCTTCCATCAGTGAGAACTTTGAAGATGAAACGAGGCTGGGTCTTCCAACATGACAATGATCCAAAACACACCGCCCGGGCAACAAAGGAGTGGCTCCGTAAGAAGCATTTGAAAGTCCTGGAGTGGCCTAGCCAGTCTCCAGACCTCAACCCCATAGAAAATCTGTGGCGGGAGTTGAAAGTCCGTGTTGCTCGGCGACAGCCCCAAAACATCACTGCTCTCGAGAAGATCTGCATGGAGGAATGGGCCAAAATACCAGCTACTGTGTGTGCAAACCTGGTAAAGACCTATAGTAAACGTTTGACGCTCTGTTATTGCCAACAAAGGTTATGTTACAAAGTATTGAGTTGTATTTTTGTTATTGACCAAATACTTATTTTCCACCCTGATTTACGAATAAATTCTTTACAAATCCTACCATGTGGATTCATGGATTTTTTTTTTCACATTCTGTCTCTCACAGTTGAAGTGTACCTCTGGTGCAAATTACTGACCTCTGTCATCATTTTAGGTGGGGGAACTTGCACAATCGGTGGCTGACTAAATACTTTTTTGCCCCACTGTATATAATATATATATATATATATATATATATATATATGCACTGTATATTTGGATATTGCTTAAAATGGCAATCTGGCTGTAACTGATTTCTGGCTGTCTTTAGCTAAAGATGTTGCTTACTTGCTGGTGTTTGGACTTGCACAGTTAAGTACACATTTGGGCTTTTCTTTGTTTCTTTGTACCGGTCTGGTTTGGTTTTAGACTTGCATACCACGACTGTTGAAAGTAACTTTCCCTGTTTAAAAAAAAAAAAAAAGGTAATATACACGTTGGTGACAATTTAAAAGAAAAACCTGAACCCTTGACCTCTTCCCGAATTGGATCCAGTGGACTGGTTTTGGCATTTGGGTGGGATGGTCTGCTTGTGCTCTCAAAACAGCAACATGTTTTTAGGTTTAAATTACAAAATGATAAATACACATTGAAAATGCAGACAAAATGGTAATGGACACCCTACCCAAGATCAGTTTAACCATGCAAATTGTTTAGGGTTGTGGCCTGAAACCAGCCGATTCTGCAGTTGTGGCAAGCCCTTCCTCCTCGTTTGAGCCAACAAAGCTTTCAGGTCATCATCAGCTAGTGAAACGCCAACAAGCTGGCTTTTATTGTCCATTGCTTCCCAAGGGTGCTCCCATGGGTGGTCTATGGGATTGAGGTCAGGGTTCTAGGAATACCATTTTAAGACCCCAGTGTTCTTCTGGGTGGTTAAGTATGCTCTGGATCTCCATCATCAATCGTGGATGATTTCTTTTCAGTTTCTATACAGAGTTTCTCAGCACACTTCAGAGTTCATGATTCTGCCAGTAACTAGTTAACAAGTTCAACACGTTCAAACCTCACTGCTATAAGAAAAGCTGTGTCTAATGTCACTGAGACATGCTTAATATGGTCATGTCGTCCATGTAGCTCTGGCTGTTGGCATGGAAGCCCCACCCACCTGCTTGCAGCAAATTCCTGCCATCGCAGGGTCCCAACACACACAGCAAGACATGATTGGATTGCTGTGCTTGCTTTCTTTATTACTTTCTAACAGTGTTTATCACAGATCGGACGTTAAATGTCCATCTGCTGTCCAATTGTGGCAAAGTACACAAAATTGTTCTGTTTTCTTCCTCCTATAAGGCGTACCCATATACAGCACAGTCTCCTAAATCAGGGAGATTTCAGTCAGAGATTTCCATAACTGTGTGTTAAATATATGAAAAGAAAACTTCTGAGGATGCTCTTCCCTGATTCTCCTGACATTTTCCCCGAGTTCATGTGTGAAAACAGCCTTACGTGATGTGTATTTGTGTTCTACAACTTAAAAAGCACACAAAGGACATTTAGACTCGTCATAACTGATATTGATAGTGAAGAAAGGCTGTGAAGAGTGATAGTAAAGACTGTGTGTGAACTGGATCTTTTTGAGGACTCTGTGTAGAAGACTTGATACAGGATGGCAGATTTTAAACAGCACCTGCACCCCGGAGGCACAGCTGAAATTTGTTAGAAAGGTATTTGTTTTTGAGTACAGTACAGTTGTGACTTGGTAGCAGGTCATTCTGAGTTCTCGGGAAACATAAACTGGTGATGCAGTTTACTTTAAATATTAATTCATTTTTACTACGTGTATTTATTTAGCCGTGATGCAGCAAAAAGGCTTAGTCACCTAACTGTCTAAACATTTATGGCCCACTGCAGCATGCTGGTCAGCTTCACAGCGTTCTATTTAAAGTCAGATTTACTGTGTGTCTGTGTATTTATTTCCATTTTTAAACGGCAAACTTTTTCTTGGGAAAATAACAGAGCACTGACTCAGAGGTAGATTGGAGCTGGGTTTGCTTGTGCACAATAAATCACTTTAGCTCACTTTTTCCCTCGTAAGTGAACTCAAAGACATCCAAGTTTGTGCAAAAGCACTTACTCTTTGTCTCCAGCTGCTTCCCAAATCCCTTTTCTTGCTATCGTGGCATCAAGTCAGATTCTACGAATAAAACCTCAGTGAAACCTCCTCGGGTTTTTTTTTTTTTTTGGGGGGGGGGTTGTCTGTTTTAATAGCCAGGTTTAGCACATTGTTGGTGAGAGGTAAAAAGCTCTTCATTTGTTGGAGAGAGTATAGTTGTGTCATCTGTTACTAATTTGGTCTGTCACTATGTAAGTATGTTCAGGAGCCTAGATTAAATCGTCATTAGGAATCTTTTCTGGTTTGTCAGGTTGTTTAAATAAAGCAGCAAGGATTGTGAACTGGTATATGTGTGGCTCACATTAGAATGGCACTAAGTCATGTCTTAGCAGCTCAAGGTGAAATGTATTACTTTGGGTTTTTTGTGGTGTTGTTTTTTTTTTTTTTTTTTTTTTTTTTTTTTTCCTCTCATGATATGCCGGATATTTGAGCTTTCGGTTGATCTGTGGGAGGTGGAATCTCGTTTTCCTTTTTTGGTCCTGCTGAACGTTCTTTGTGATGATAGCAAGATGCTTTCCCTACCTCCTGTTTGTTTGTGCTGAGGCCAAGACTGCAAAGCCACATTCTTTGCACATATGCCCCCAACAGCGGCCACTTATTCTGGTATCATTGTTGCAGCTAAAAGTCCTAACTGAGAGAACAATTACAAACACATGACAGCCATCTAGTGGAGGCTGCCCTTTAGAGGCCATTAAGTCAGTATTTATTCTGCATTCCTGAATCTGGGGGTGTACAGTATACACGGGATATTTTTTAAATATGCAGAAAACTAACAATCCACCAGAAACTAATCATTGTAGGCTTCACAAATAAAAATAAAAAATAAAAAAAAAGCAAAATTAGCTCCCAAACACCCGCTGTATTGAATAAATTTCCGAGCTCAGGCAGAGGTTTCGAGAAGTGCTCAGCTATTTGATGTGGTCCCAGTTTTTTTTCTTAAGAGTTCAGGGAATTGTCTCTGTGGAAAGAATTCTTCTTCCATGGAAAACTGGAGCTATTGCTCTGGAGGCTGACGCACATTACCTTTCTTCTGTCTCCTTTCCTTTTTGTGTACAGATTGAGCCGTAAATGTTTCAGCATCAGAGAGCTCACTATGAAGAAGACGGTCCGGCCAGCGGTGAGTAAGGGGAGCGCCGATCGAGGAAGGTCAGAGGCCGTGACTACCGGCGGAAAGCCCCCAGCCAAAAGCACCACCGTTGCTCCTCTGTCTAAGGTAAAATTCATCAAGTGATGGAGCGTGTAGTACCTGAAGGTTTCTGATTTCATTAATTTTTCTGTGAGCGTGTTGACTTTTTCTTCTTTCAGGTTAAAAGCAATGATGACCTCTTAGCGGCTATGGCTGGAGGGAATCCTTCATCAAGTAGTGCCGTCACTAAGACCAAGAGGACTACGTCTGTTGGCACAAGCGCTAGCAACTTAGACAGCAAGCCAAAGACAACTTCAGGTATCTCAAAAAAATGTATCCCACAGGTTTGGAATGTATTCGTGGCTGGAGCTGCTCCTCCTGGAGCCTGCTTCTGCCGGAGATTTCTTAATGTTAAAGGGGAGGTTTTCTTCCTCACTGTTGCCAAGGGATTGCTCATCTAATTGTTGGCATTTTCTCTGTATTATTGTAAGGTCTTTACCTTACAATAGGAGGTGCCTTGAGGCACCAAAATGATGATGTTGGGACATGAGCGAGAGACCCAAGCAGCACAATGATAGTGAAGATCATCACAACAGCAGCTGCTGGTTAGCGGCAGCTTAGTTGTCAAAATAAGAGCATGGGAATTGTCTACTAGCAAAAAAAGAATGAGACAAAAACATTGCTAAACTGAGCTCTTCATATTCTCAGATAAGCTGTAAAAATTATTTTTTTCAGTGTTACTTCACCAGGATAAAAGAAATTCACTTTTTCTTGTAGGTACTTCATCCAAACGTGCATCATCCACTTCCAAGGAGCCAAGTTCATTACGAGACCGCCTTCGGTCATCCACTGCTAAAAAGCAACTTGCATCAGGGACTGTAGCTGGGGATGTGGCCTCAGGAAAGCGCTCTCGCCGCCTGATCCTGGCAGAGTCCGAGGGCCGTATGAGCAAGTCTAAGTCAGATGGCCAGATTAATGATAAAGTGGCTCTGGAAGCCAAAGTCAAAGACCTGCTTGGTTTGGCCAAGAGCAAAGATGTGGAAATCCTTCACCTTCGCAGCGAGCTGAGGGACATGAGGGCCCAACTCGGCCTTGGTGGGAAGGAGGTGCCACAGGAGGAAGAAGCTGGGGAGGAAGAGAAGCCCCAGGTTTCAGCCATCACGGCCGCTGATGTGGAGTCCACTCTGATTCTCTTACAAGAGCAGAATCAAGCCATCAGAGAGGAGCTCAACCTGCTGAAGAGCGAGAACCGCATGCTGAAAGACCGGCTGAATGCTCTGGGATTCTCCCTGGAGCAGAGGCTGGATGGCTCTGACAAGCTGTTCAACTACTCCTCCCTGAGTCCAGAACTGGCTGGAGGCAGCGGGCACAGCGATGGTGGTGGCACAGGTACTATGACCTCCTCAGTGGAAGGCTCTGCCCCTGGCTCATTGGAGGATCTTCTCACAGGACACCAGCATGGAGGCTCGGCAGACAACCTGGATAGTGAGTCAAGTGAGGTCTACCAAGCTGTCACTTCCAGTGACGATGCTCTAGACGCCCCATCTGGAGCTTCCTCGTCATCTGAGTCAGAGTGTGCACCTAGCAGGGAGCGTTCACGGAGGGGTAGCAGTGGCAATGCCAGTGAGGTGTCAGTAGCCTGTCTGACGGAGCGCATCCAACAGATGGAGGAGAATCAGCACAGCACAGCTGAGGAGCTTCAGGCGACACTGCAGGAACTGGCTGACCTGCAGCAGATCACACAGGAGCTGAATGGAGAGAACGAGCGGCTCGGAGAGGAGAAAGTCATCCTCATGGACTCCTTGTGCCAGCAGAGCGACAAGCTGGAGCTCTACGGCCGCCAGATTGAATACCTGCGCTCGCTCCTCGAAGAGCATCATATATCCTACGTGCTGGAGGAGGACATCAAGAGTGGGCGCTACATGGAGCTGGAGCAGCGTTACGCAGATCTGGCGGATAATGCCCGCTTTGAGAGAGAGCAGCTACTGGGGGTGCAACAGCACCTATCCAACACGTTAAAGATGGCTGAGCAGGACAATGCTGAAGCTCAGGAGATGATGGGAGTGCTGAAGGAGAGGAACCAACAGATGGAGCGCCTCCTGGATTCGGAGAGGCAGGATCGAGCTGCCATGGCGGCCGCACTGGAAGAGTACAAAGCAGCCGTGAGCAACGACCAGGCGGAGCTGAGCCGCTGCCGAGCCCAGCTGGATCAAGAGAGACAGAGAGTGGCCGAGTTGTACTCTCTGCACACTGCGGGGGACAAAAATGACATCTGTCAGCTGCTGGAAGGTGTTCGGCTGGGGAAAGAGGAGGCTGAGGCCAAAGCTGCAAAGATGCAGGAGGAGATGGAACAGGCCCACGGCGAACTCAGCCGGCTGCAGGAGACTTTCAGGAAGGTTAGTTCAAGGACAGTGAGTGGAACATGAGATCTTCACGCAAATAGAAGCTAAATTGAGGCGTTTGACCTAAATGTCTTTACTTTAATCTAGGGTGCAACAACTCTCAGTTTTTGGGTTATGAAAATTACAGCTTTATTACTGCCCGTCCATCAGTGTCTCAGATATCACAAATTTAGTATCACCAGCTCTCCAGAGTCAGCCTTTAGCAAGGAATGGTACACATTCTCAAAGACTATACAGAGCTAACTGCATAGATGTGTAGTTATAATAGCAGGCAGGTTATTGTGAAGATTTATTGCAGTCAGTTTTTACCTAATTTCTTGTCTACTGTCTAATTAAATGAAGTATACTTTAATTGTTTGTGCGCAGCTGGACAGTGAATACAGAGACTTCCAGGAGCAGGCGCAGCAGCAAATGGCTGAGCAGGATCGTGCACTGGAGAAGCAGCGCATGGAGCTGCAGGAGAAGGACACAGAGATCGCTGACATGAAGGAAACCATCTTTGAACTGGAGGATGAGGTGGAGCAGCACCGAGCTCTGAAACTCCACGACAATCTCATTATCACAGATTTGGAAAGTAAGTGGGCTGCAGACACACTCTAACTCGAGTGGACGCTTGTGCTGAAGGCCAACTTTTATCAAGTAGTAGAACAATGTGAGCATGCTCATCAGCTTGCCTTGGAGATTCTGATATGAAAAGGACGTCTGCTTTTGAATCAGTGCGTTCTTTAATGATAGCATCACCAAACATTGCCTTCTGATTTCAGACTCTGTGAAGAAGCTGCAGGACCAGAAGCACGACATGGAGAGAGAGATTAAGATTCTTCACCGCAGGCTGAGAGTAAGTGGGCATTCGTACTGAAAGGTGCTCATCTTTTAAAAACTGCTGACATCCAACAGCCTAAAAATCTTGATAGCCACGCAGCTCGGGTGCAAACAACACGAGGCACCCATGAAGTGACCTGAGGAGTCACACGTAGCGCTGGACCATTTTTTGCTCTATATCCTTCCCTTCCCCTTTCCCATATTTTGTTCCTCTCTCTACTGACCATGTCAGATGAAGCCATAAAAATCCCCCAGTCTCATTGTCAGCTGGCCAAGATGATGAAATATGATCCAGGAAGCACAGCTGTAGCACCAGAACAATGAGTTTTGAAGTCTTATCAAATAAAAAGTATTGTCCAGCAGTCAGTGGTGCTTTCAGGAAGGACTTTTGTAACTCTGGAATGTAATCACAGCAGCCATAACTTTTATCTTCTGTCACAGGAGTTCTGGGATACAAAATCGAAACATGCTCTTGAAAAGTCAGCCACACAGAATGTGAACGTGCACACGTTTGTGAAAGAGTGTGGATTGAGGCTGTTTGATTATGGGCAAGTAAAGGTCAAATTATACTAGAAGGAACAAAAACTAGGTTTTAAGACAGTACTTTGTATAAAATCTGGATACTAAATAAATGCAGTATTATGACTTCTAGCTCCACAAACCAAAATTTTTCCATCACTGTGGAATTTTCAAAAGGTTTGCTGCAGAATCCCCTGATATTTTGACACAAAAAAGCAGATAGAAAACGTAACAACTAACTGGTAAACAAAGCGGGGCATTTTTAGAAGCGCAGATATTTCCTTTAGGAGCTGATGGAAACCTAAACGGAGCGCAAAGGGGAATTCATGAAGGCCTGATTTTAAATGAATGCTAATGTTTCTGTCATAAGGAAAGTCTGTCATTACAAATAGGAAAAACTGCCCTCTGGTGGCCAAAAGAATTTATCCATACTGCTAAATACAGTATTGATAAAATACTGCTGAGGGGTCTGCTGTTATGAGCATAAACAATGTTCAGCTGTTTGTATCATTACGTGTGTGTGTGTGTGTGTGTGTGTGTGTGTGTGTGTGCGCAGGAGGAGTCAATGGAGTGGCGTCAGTTCCAGGCTGATCTGCAGACCGCTGTCGTCATTGCTAATGACATCAAGTCGGAAGCACAGGAGGAGATTGGTGACCTGCGGCGCCGACTTCAGGAAGCACAGGAGAAGAACGAGAAGCTGAGCAAGGAGCTGGACGAAGTCAAGAGTCGCAAGTAAGACCCACAGAGAGACGCGTGGAAGAGCTGCAACAGTCAGCTCCTAATTTATTTATTTATTTATTTATTTATGTTTAGGAGAAAAAACTGGGATATTTCATATTTTCATTAAATTTGATACTAGATGGTCAGTAGCAGGGCTTGTGCTAAATCCAAAGTTGAATTAAAAACAAAAATAAGTTGTGAATTACACATTCTGTTTTCTATCTCGGTAAATTACTGAGCAGAGGCATTTTTGCATTGATAATGTCAAAACTGACACCACAGGTGCTCTGAGTGCACATGCTCAGTGGAGTGCTTTGTGTTTTCCAGGCAGGATGAGGAGAGAGGCAGAGTGTATAACTACATGAATGCAGTGGAGAGGGACCTAGCTGCTCTCAGACAGGGGATGGGTCTCAGCAGGCGATCCTCCACCTCCTCGGAGCCCTCGCCCACCGTCAAAACACTCATCAAGAGCTTCGATAGTGCCTCACAAGGTACAACACTGTCTTTGTTTTAGATTTTTAGACCTTCGCTGCTGCTTTTGTTGTATTTTTTTTTTTCCCAAATTCCCTCACCAAAGAGAGCCCATATTGTTAGTTTTTTGTCAAGAGTCACCAGTCTGACTAAGACAAGTGACATAAATTTAAGTCTTACCCCCCAACAATATATTCTCAATACATTTTCAGCATTTTTATTGAATTACTGCAGACAGGACTCCTGACATATCAGGCTTGTCTGCTTGCTGAAGAAGGCCCCAACTAAACTTTATATGACTGGATGTGAACCTTTGCTTCTTTATATCTCAGGTCCAACGTCAAATGGTGCCTCTGTGGCTCCAACACCTCCAACAGCTCCGGCTGCTCCGTTACCTCGAACCCCCCTCAGCCCCAGTCCCATGAAGACGCCCCCAGCAGCTGCTGTTTCACCCATGCAGGTACTGGAAAAGGTTTTTAATTAACATGTTAGCATTTTTGTCCCTTATTAGCTTACTGCTTTACATACTATTTCACACTAGTGCAAGGTCAAAAATTATATTCCTCATTGAGCACATGCTTATGCTTCTTCCAAGGTGCCATAATGAATCCTTTTAAAGTGGTCTTGAGCACCTTCAAAAATAATTTCTGAAGGTCTTTCAGAAGAACAGGCAGTCCTACAAAAAACATGTACATCAGGTGAACAGTATCTGAAACTCATGTCATTTAGAAATAGGAAAAGGTCCAGCAAAGACCTGACACAGGACCTGAGAGATCTGGCCCTTCAGCTGAAGCATCTACTGTTCACTGAAGCCTTGTCTGTCAAGAAGCTGTTCTTAATAAAGGAAATTTATAAGGAAAACCTGAGGACTGAAAATCAGTGGTAACAGGTCTCACGGATTCAAGTTTTAAATTTTTAGTTAAATTGTCAGTATGTAGAGCAGGTCAGGAGACAACAGTGAGTGTCTACAGCCATTTGTAAACCACGGAAGAGGCTTTGAAATGAGTTGGAGCTGCATTTGAGCCAGTGATGGTGTTGTGGATCTTACCAGCGTCCTGAAGAAGAAACTAACTATAAAAAAAACCTTTCAGTTTGGCCTGGACTGTGGAGAGTCCAGGCTTGAATTATTAAGGTGGTCACACCAAAAAATTTAAAGAAATGAGGGATAGCTCAAGACTTTTGCACAACACTGTACATTTTAAGCATTGGGCTTCTAAAGGGTTTGAGTGGTGGGGATTTTTGGGTTCTTCTCCTTTTCACATAGTATTGCAGGCTTTTATACTTGATCATGTGACACTCTCCAATGATATCAGCGTGACTTTGTGTTGTGCTTTTAGCTCAGATAACATTACAGAAGTGAAGCTCCGCCTACTGTTTTACAAATCACTGCATTCAGATTTTTTTTTTTTTTTTTTTTTAACTGTGCAATAAAAGGTGTTTTTCTGCTGTTTCAGAGACACTCCATAACTGGGTCAATGTCATCAGCCAAGCCGCTCTCCTCTTTGAGTGATAAGAGGCCCAGCTACACAGACATCTCCATGCCAGGTACATATTCTACATAAAAAAATAAATCTGTTTCTTTATGTAGGAACTGTTGCTTTTCATAGCTGCTGGGTGTACGCATATAAACATGCAGAATATTGTCCTGTTCATGAGGATTACCCATATAATATTTCAGTCCTTTGTCACAGTGATTAATAGGATTAATGGGCTGTCCCCTCTCTCAGGGTATATGGAGGGACTGTTTTTCTCAGAGGCCTGGACCTTAGCAGGTTTCCTGTATGTGTAGAGGATGATAAGCAGGAAATAATGAGTGCTTGGTTTGCTCGGTTCATTCTCAACACTAATGAGTTCAAGTGTTTCATGTGAACGTGCAGTCTTGGCCATAGCCTTCAGTCGTCCATTTATTCTTCACTGATTTATTGTTTTCTTGGTGAGTGTGTCGGCCTTGTGCGTCGGTATTCCCTGAACTCGGAGGGACTGGAATGTGGCTTTCTACTGACCTCTGCCCCCACCATGACATCTCATTTCAGAGGAAGTTGCTCATAGAGTAAATTGTTCTGTATGTGTTTACTGTGATGTTTACAGCCGAGCACCTTCTCAGGGGAACCTCAGCTAGCCGACCTCCATCTGCCCTCCAGAGGGTCTCCAACATTGACTCCTCCAAGGCGATCTCAGGTTAGAGATGCTGGCTATGTTTTATGAACTAATTATGAAGTAACTCGGTCAGTAGTTCAGTACGAAAAGCTGAGTTTGATTTCCTCTCCCGTGACTTAAACAGTGACCCGCCGGAGCAGTGAGGAGATTAAGAGGGACATGTCAGCCTCGGAGGGGTCTTCGTCATCTTCCCTGATGGCGATGAGTGCTGCCTCCTCCCCACTCTCTCTGTCCTCCTCCTCCCCAACCGCCTCCATCACTCCCACAGCCCGCAGCCGCTTAAGGTACCACATGTTGATCCACTGATTCACCTCTGATGTGTTTCTAATGTGCTCACATTGGCACTTAAAAAACATTGTCTGTTTCCATTCTTGTCAGTGATTTTAATCTCATGTTTCTTGATCCCTTTTTTGTGTTGTTGTTGTTGTTGTTGTTTGGTTTTTTTTCCATAGCCCAGCTCATGATGGCTTTTCTTTACTCATTAAGTAAATCAGATGAACTTGTAATCTGTTGCCTTTTTGGTATGGAAAATGTCTTAAAACTGATTGCTTGTGCTTTTCCTCTGTTTCTGTTACAGAGAGGAGAGAAAGGACCCGCTGTCAGCACTGGCCAGAGAGTACGGAGGCTCTAAGAGGAATGCTTTGCTGAAGTGGTGCCAGAAGAAGACTGAGGGCTATCAGGTAGCTCTCTTCTGTCAGTGTCCCCATGATAAAAAGCAACTGTACATGCTGACTGAGGTGTTTCAAAAGTTACAGGTAAAGTGCAGCTGTAGTCGTACACTATATGTGACAAAGAGTATATAAAGTGCTTCTGCACTTTAGGGAGGGAGCTGCATACAATCTAAAGGCTGAGTTCAAGTTTGAAAATAGAACGTGGGGGTGTGGAGTTAGAAAGAAATGAGATCACCAGACCTCTGAAGCCCACTCCTCATCTCCGCTTGAGGCTTCTTGCACAACCATTCTGACATGTTGCCTTGTGGAAAATTACTGCCTTTGCAATTCTAATAGTTAAAGGTTTTAGCACTAAACTTTCTGTAGCAATGGCTCATATTGGCCCATGTTTAATGTAATGAGGTCAGCGTATGTACTGTTAATGATGTATGTGAGCCAAAAGCTTAGGTTTCAGATTACTCTGAGTACCTTTTATTTGTCAGGAGCTGTTAGTCAGATGGGAGTTAAAGTGGCTTTTTTCAATCAGATAGAGGATGAACTGAGGGGCTGCACACAGCCCAGTAGAAGCTAAATAAGGATTGTATTGAACTGTCAGTGATGGAAAGCTATTCTAGTTGAGTCCAAGAATAAAAAGATGAAGCTGGAATTTTGTGTGTTTGTGTTCCGATTCTGTGTATAAAGTTTCTTAGCATGATCAGGGGGTGGACGTGATCCTCCAAATGAGTGTAAAAACAACCTACTCACACTGTGGAAACATGTTTGCAGATGCTAGTTGAATGCTTTTAATGAGAAGAATCAGCGGAGGGTGTGCATAAGCAGTAACATGATGCAGGTCTAATGTGGTGCTAAGATTGCACAGTAAACTGTTATCAGCGAGATAAAATGAAAAACATGAAGGCGGCATCATTTCCTCGTTCATAGGTAGATGCAGTGGTGCACTCTGCCACGGGCAGCGATACCTCATTGTAGAGAAAGGTAAATAATGTCACAACTTTAACTCCTGAGTTGAGATGAACTCTTTGTCTCCCTTTACACCCTTTAACTTTGCAGTACCCTTTACATGCTGCTGCAGACTGACTGCTCTGCGTAGGTCTCACTTGTTAATTTCACCGCAGGCTCTTTAAAGCTATGGTTAAAAAAAATAAAGATAAATCCAGTGACGACCTCAGAGTGATTTAAGCAGCAATAAACAGATGTGCCAAGAGTCCTCTGCCATCACCCCAACCCTTTTTATTTGATCTAAGGTATAGTTACCATGGCATCTTAGGTCTTCACCAGGAAGTGGGCAACATTTAGTATATCCTGTGATGTAGTTTTCTGATAAAAACACAGTGCTCTCTCTGCATCACTGCATATGGTGTAGATTATAGTTATGACATTAAAGATATTTGAGGATGTAATTTAAGTGGTTGTTTGCAGGATGCTGTAAATCTTTTGATTTTAAAGGTCAGATGGCAGCTGATAGTGGAAAAGATGATAGATATGATATGATATGGATGAGTAGTGTTGACACTTCATATAAAATCCCAGGACCGTCATCAGATCGAGCAGATAAATCATTTTAAATGGTTCCGTGAAAGCAGAATTGATTGTGAGCAATAGTGTTGTCTGAAACGATGTGGAGATCGGCCGTCTGGCGGTGACGTTCATGCTGTAAAGGTCCAAAGGATGAAATGTTGTACAGTCTTGTTTGACACCTTACCCAGAAAATAGCTTCCTATTGATTTGTGGTCTGGATTGTAAATGTTCTGTCGAGTATGATCAAAGTTTAAATGCATCACCTTTGTGTTGTGTTTTTTCTTTTTTAAAGAACATTGATATTACCAACTTCAGCAGCAGCTGGAACGATGGCCTGGCCTTCTGCGCCGTGCTCCACACCTACCTGCCCGCACACATCCCGTACCAGGAGCTCACCAGCCAGGAGAAGGCAAGTGACGTTCGGAAGAAAAGCTCAAACTTCTTTTAATCATCAGGTTTCATTACATGTGACTTAAACTGTGGCTTCTTTTCATCAGAGGAGAAACTTCACCTTAGCTTTCCAGGCCGCAGAGAGCGTGGGCATCAAATGCACTTTGGTAAGCTTCATTAAAATAAAACCCCAGGAATGAAGATAAAATACAGCAAAAATCCTGACACAAATGTAGAACGGATGGCATAGAGAATATACTTTTCATTGCTTTTCAATACGGCAGCCAAGCTCGCACAGATTGCTTGTTGTGATCTCTGGCTGGAGTTAACCTGCAGTCTGCTTTCTAACTGTGATCCGTTTATAGTTCTGCTTTTAACCTCATAAACTTCACTCAGCTGCTTGTGCATCTATCATCACAGATCTGAGCTATACACTGACTTTTATTTCAAATTTGGACAGCGTCCTAAGTTAGTACAAGCGTACATGTGTTTAAACAATGTGCGGCTTTAGCCAACATGGATTTCTAACTGCTACACCATGTTGGCTCAATGAAAAGTCAACGTAAGGTAAGGTTACCTGAAAAGGAATGGTCTTAATATGAATCTACAAAGCCTTCCTTCTTTTTTTTTTTTTTAGTGTATACTGGTTCTCTGTCAACCTCACTTCGTCTGTCACAGACTCTCTGATTCTTTTTACCAGTTAAGCAAAGACTGTATATATAAAAAAACAGACATAATAACCAAGACTTACTGCATTGCTATCTATTGCAGACTGGCAACCAATACCAGCTAGGTTGGTTATCAGTGATAATTTTGACAGAACATTCTGATTTAGTTCGTAATCTCTAAAATATAGAGTATAAAGTTTATCCTGTTTTTAACAGGGAGAGTTGCTCACCTCGCTTCACTAAGCACCCATGACATCAAATTGCGAAATGTGTCCATATCTGCTCTTCTTTTCCTCCCAAGAACTGATATTTTGTCACAAAGATCAAATATGCGCTACTAAGCTTTACAGCACAAGGAGATTACTTCTGATTGGATTGATTCCAGACTTGTCCCGCCTTTGTATACAACTTTTTTTTTCTTCTATTTTCATCTTGTCAGTACATTTCATCTTAGATATCGTCTTGTTCCACAAAAAAAGGTTGTTGACAAAAACTATTACAAAGGTTATTAAAGAATGAAATTATCACTGCTATCTATAGACTGCTACCAGCTTTTTAAATAGCGTGTTAAGGTGATCACCCTCGTGCTGTTTGTCAGATAGCTCCCCTGAAAATGCTGCAGAGGGGCTCGGGCATGATTAGGAGGTCCAGCAGTGACTTGAATGAGCTGAGGAGAAGCCTTGCAGAGAGCTGTGACAGCAGCCACCTGTTAGTTGTAGAGACCAGCTGTAATCATGCTTAACTTTACCCTTAATACAATTTTAAATGTCTGGGTTGTGTTTTAAATGTAGTGTTTGTAGTTATATTAGCTTTAGAGACAGCTTATCAGGAAGTTATGGTGCATGGCTTTTGACTTCGTTCTTCAGGGTGATGCTTGAGATTACACAAATGAAATGAAACGTGTTGGTCAGTGAGATCTGGAGGTGCTTACAGGTAGATTTTGTTACCATTCCACAGAGCCAGGCTAGCTGTTTTTCCTTTATGCTAACTGAAAGCATGCTGACCAGGTGCTAGCTGTAGACTCACATTGAACATGATTATGTTCAAGTCTAAGGAGTTTCCCAGAATGTCAAACTCATCTGGAAGTTTATTTGAATGGGTTGAAAATGTAAATATTATACAGGATCCTCTCCAATGCTATCCGGCCTTGTTCATCAGTAGGTACATATCATAAATCAAATGCTTCACTCAGGGTTTACTTACTGCTGTTACAGCTGGAGTTGGCAACTCTTATTATCAAGACGACTTGGTTGTGTTTAACCATAATCATTATTGATAAATTATAAATAATGCCCTTTAATGAAGTGAAAAACATCATATAAAATATGTAGTGTCTAAAGTGTCTGTTTGTCTTTTCCAGGACATTAATGAGATGGTGCACACAGAGAGGCCAGACTGGCAAAGTGTCATGACTTACGTTACAGCCATCTACAAGTACTTTGAGACCTGACTTCACCGTCTCCCTCGCCCTTCTCTTGCAGCACAATCAGAGCCACACTGACCGTCATGAGCTCTCAGCAACAATCCAACTGCATGGTCAACTCTTCCTTACTCCCTCCCCATGCATCACAGCAGCACTGTCATGCTGCAAGTGTGTCCACGCTATTTAACAACACTAAATGCAGACCAGGACTTTGCTGGACAAGTGCCACATCCTCACACTGCAGCTAAGGAGACCCTTGTGTGGAGTTGTAGTCCAGGGGCTTGCCTGTTTGTTTACCATTATACTAGAAAGCCATGAGAAGGACAGGATGCGAATACCTGTGGTTCATCTTTTCCTCCAATTCATGCCTGAAGTAGCAGCGTGAAAAAGAAGCCAAGTCTCAGTGCCTTCTATCTGGCTTTGTCTTGCATACGTTTCTCCGCTCTGCACCCATTCTCCAGGTTGTAGTTTGTTCAAGGGGAATTCCATCAAATCTGACTTTAAACACTCTGCTTTGCAGCATAAGGTTTGTCATAGGCTTTTCTTCTTGATGGGGAATAATTACTGGATGTTTCCCCCCGTAAATGTTCAGTTTCTACATTATAAGAAACCAAAGGTTAGTCATGTTGGAATTTCCCCCTAAAACTTTGTAAATTCCCTTTGGTCAGACTTGAGACAGATGCAGGATTTTACTCCAAGTCTTCCAGATGTTGCAGTGCGATAACAGATGCCTCTCATACAACGGATAAAGTGCCTGTGTGAGTTTTGATGCAGGAGACCAGAAAACAAGCTCTTTTTTTCTTCTTCTCCAGTTTGTAAAGCTGAGGATTTGAGGAGTTGCCAACCTAGTTTCAGATTCATTCATTCATTGATGCTGATCACGACTGACTGCTTTCAAGGACAGGTGTGCACTTTGTTCTACAACTCTGCTGCACTTTTCTGTTGTTAAGTCGCACTAACACACTATGATAGGTTTTCTGTAATAGATCCAAGACTTTAGACTAATATTCATTTGAAGAACTATATAACGTGTTTGTATTTTATAGGCCTGGAGTTGCCGTCGTGCACTTCGTTCATTGGGCACATACAGCACACATTTCATCATAATCAAGCTATGAGTAACTAGAAAACTAGAACCTTAGATAATGGACTCAGCTGTAGATTTCATGCCAGGCTCTGGTTTTAGGAAGCAAGACTAGACACTTTCATGAGCTTTTTTTTTATTTTTTTAATTTATTTTAGGCCAAAGCAGTGCTTCAGTTAAAGCAGCAGGTGGATGTTTTCAGTGATGCGTTTTGCTGCTTTCTTGCCAGTAACCAGACATGAAAACCTCAGTTTGGCTCTGATCTGTAAAGTGTGATCAAAAGTTCTGTGAACTGTCTGTGAAAAGCAAACGCCTTACCCTTCAAGGTCACCTCCTTCTGCACCTTTAGACTGCCTTCAGCTGCTATTTTTAGAGCTTTCCCTGGAAATTCTGTTCTGACTACTTGGATGTTTGTGTGTGCGATGCAAACAGGACCTCCTGTACTGTGTCAAATCAGTGACCCTTTAAGTTACATTTCATCTTGTAAAAGAAAATGGTAGTGGTTAACACTTGCCTTCCTCGAGTCAAGAGTTCAAAATCAAGGTGCACAACTATGTGTCAAAAAAAGCAACAAGCACCCGCACCTCCCTTTATTGCTTTGTCCCCGAGTGTCCCAGATGTGAAAATCTGGATGTTTCGATGCAGATGTTTGCTTTCTGTGTACAATCGAGGTCTATGGTGAATTTATATATTTGCACCTGCAGGTGGCTAGAACTGGACTTCCAAAAGGTAATCAAATAAGCACATGAATGGTGCACAACGTGTGACCTTTAAGGGGGGAATCAGACATATTAAGATCAAACTCGTAGCAAGAAACCAAACGCATATGTTACACAAGATTTTAAACTCTTCCTTTAACGTCCAGAAATGTTGCAAGGCCGTTTATTTTAATTATACACAAATTATTAGGTAATCCATTTTGCAATATGCAAAATGTTTTGGTGATTTTGTGCTTTTGCAGTGTTAATAAAGTTGATAATATGACCAAGCATTACTAAGGAAATACTGTGGAGCACGATGCCATGTAATAACTCTAACTTCAGTCTGCACCATTACTGTCACGCTGTCTGACTGCTGTGTGCCTCAACATACCAAGTTCACTCTATTTATTTGCGTAGTGCATTATAGTGAAGTCAGTGCTAACGTTGTCTTACATGTTTATCGATTTATAACACACACACTTTGAATAGCTGCACTGAGATAAGCTTTTTTTTTAATGTATTCCACAATAATATCCTGCCTTAATAGTTCAGCAGATATTTCTCAGACTGAAAATGTGACATTTTTAAGCTGCAGCCGTATTTCCAGACCAGTTTCACAGTGCGGACATGGTTTTGTGGAAAAACCCTCTCTTTCATGTTGGTGCCTCTCGAGAAACGCTGATCATGAGCGATGGCTGTGAATCTTTTTGTTTTTGAAGCTGATGTTGGACTTTCCTCTTCGTGTCTCCGGTTAAGGTGACTGTGGTGCATAGAGCTGCCAGCTGGTATCAATAGCTGCATTAGAAACGACATTTTTCTGTGTTGATTTTGAAGCGAGCCGTTTGCCAAAAGCTCGTTGCTACTGTGTGTAAAACAGCGGTGGACATCCAGTGATCTGAAGTGAGCACACGAGCCCGTCACATCGACTGTTTGTGTACGAGATGGAGTGAGACTGAGTTATTTAATGACTTTTGAAGGCAGAGGCTCTTTGCTGATGGCGAGACGCTGAGGATTAGCAGCCTTTTGTTAGTTTTCTTTTAAAAAAACATTGTGCTCTGCCTGATTCCACCGCTGGCCCATGTGTTTTATTGCTCCCGACAGGAACGAGAGGCGCAAAGGAGATTGGAAGCCTCGCGATCCTGAAAGTGGAATGTGTTTTGATCACGCTTTAGTGATCTTGGGACCGTTTCTTTTTTACAACGTCCAGCGTGTGCTGACGTGTGGTGATTGATGACCGCCGAGCCCAGCCTGCTGAGGAGAGACCAGACGGCCAGCAAAAGCTAGGGCGCGCATTCCACCGCCACATGATGCAGCCGCGATGGACGACGTTGTTTGGTCCTTTAGAAAAAGGCCCTTAAAGAGGATGTGAAGAGAGCTTTATGTCTTTAGTGTGTCCACTACATCATGCTACTTGTATTTTTCTTTGTTTACTTGAAAATGCTCTGAGAATTTCACTGAACATGCTTTAATTTGTCTTTTTGTTTCCATGTTGCCTTTTTTCGTGTTGTTTTAATAATAATACCACATTTTACAGTCTGATGCAGATTGTCGTTGAAGTGGATTTACTTTTCTGATCACACTACATGCAGTGCTGAAACAGTCCCTCAGCTAAGTGAAAGCTGATTGAATAAATGTGTGTATGTATGCGTGTGTATAAAGGGACTAAGCTACAGTATTAAGTGCACACTATGATGATAATCAGTTGTAAGAAATAAAAAAGCGTTCTGGTTTTGCTTTGTTTTTTCTCTCGTAGTTATAAAGGACCATTTGAACAGCCATGTTTGTTGTCCTTTTTCAGCCGTGGGCTGGGCTTGGGGAGGTGGGGGTGGTGGAGAAGATGTTCCTTCCCCAGGAAATGATGAGCATCAGAAACCTTATTTCCTGCATTCTGCTTCTCTTGCACCAGTTTATACGTTTGCTGCATCGTTCTGTGGTGCAAATGTCTGTAGTTAAAGGACAAAAATGAGGTACCACATAACAAACATAAAGTAGGACATAATCCAGTGTGGCTTTCAGATCGTCTCATTCATTATAGTTCACCACACACACACGGGTATGAACTACTTGTTTGTCCTTCTGTTGTGCTGGCCTCTTTTCAGATCAAATGATCAAAACAGTGCAGGATGGTGGCATGGTGGTTAGCTCTGTTGCCTCACAGCCAGAAGGTCCTGAGTTTGACTCCAACAACTGGCGCAGGCCTTTCTGTGTGGAGTTGGCATGTTCTCCCATGTTTGCATGGGTTCTCTATGGGTGCTATGGCTTCTCCCACAGACCAAAGACATGCATTTAGTGGGGTAGGTTAATTGGCCATAGGAGTGAGTGCAAGTGGTTGTCTCTCACCCTGCCTTTTGCCCTGTGACTGCTGCGATATGCTCCAGGTGCCCCATCGCCCCCACTCCCGACCTTGTTAAGGATAAAAGGCTGGATGACAGTAAAACACTTATCCAGTTATCTGTTTTGTATTAGACTGATTTATGTGTTTCGTTGTGTAACCCACTGGGTGTTTAGTTAATTGCTCATGTTTAAAACCTCCCAACATTCCAGTTATCTTATCACATACCTTTGATGGTCTTAGGAAGTCAAGTACATCTCATCTATTACCAAGTAGCCTGAAAACAAGAAGCAGGCTACATTACCTCAGAAGTACTGGATAAACAGCACTTCTATATTGGAAAACAAATTACTACTAAACCTTAGCTCCCATTTTCTTCCATGGTCATCGACGTGCTTACACATGGTACCAGCTGACTGATCATAACACTATAGTACTGTGGAAAAAGTCTCAAATCAAACAATTTTTTTTTAGATTTTGCAAGGAAAATTGAAAATGGGTGCAGAAATGTATTGAATCGTGTACAAACATGCTCGAAAATACAGTATGGAAAACAGATTTTGCAAAACTTCAAGTTTCAATATTTGGTACAAGCCTGGAAAATCTTAGGCCGCTTTCTTGTCATTCCTGTAAGAAGTGTTCAGGAACGATTCTTCAGGCTTCTTCAAGGACATTCAATTCAGCTTTGTTTTTAAAGTGCCAAATGACAAAGACAGTTGCCTTAAGGCCATTTATACTGTCAGGTAAAGACCCTACAATAATAAAAAAGACTGAGAGATTCAGAACTGTTCTGCCTTTTGTTCCATTCTCTGTCAGGATGATCCCACACTGCTTCAGTCATGTCTATCCAGGTGTGCTTTTATTGCTTTGGCAGTGATCATATTCACGCTCAAGAATGGTGTTGTTGGCAATCAGATGGTTTCCAGATGTTACGTGGTGGTTCAAAATCTGACCCAGTACTTTTCTGTCTTCATAATTCCATCAATTTTGGAAAGATCGCCAACACCACTGAGCCTCTACTGTTTTTACAGATGGCTGTAGACACTCCCTGTCCCTCTCACTCAACCTCTCTGTACATACTGATGACAAACCAAGAACTTCAGAATTGGATTCATCACTCATAAGACCCCTTACTGACTTACTGACTTTTGTTCTTGTGTAACTTCCTCGTCCTTTCCTCTCTGTTTCCCTTCATTAAGAATGGCTTCCTAACAGCTAACCTTTATTGACACCATTTCTGATGACACTTCTGTCTCATCAAGATATGCCAAGTTTTTAGCAAACATCTTTTTGAGAATCTTGCTGTACAAACACTATTTTATGCCTGTCAGACTGTCTTTGGTGTTCAGATGAAGAAATTGGAGCGAATGCTGTGCTTTTGTAACAAGATGGTAACACAATACAGAAAGACATTTTAAAATAGATTCTTTGCCAAGTTGTCTGTTATGTGTAGATAAAGCTTACTGTTGTGTCTACACACACAACACTCCATCAGTTGAGTTAGGTGCCTTTTCTTTCTTTTCCTTTGTATTTTTAATTGAATGATTCACAGGTCAGTGTGAAGGGGCATAATACGCACACAGACACAAAATGTCTCTAATAAAATGTCAGGTACAACGACTAGACTGAAAGTTGGTGAAAAATCAGCAAATATCCCAAAGAAACCCTTTGGGAGACTTTCGGGAAGCCTGAAGAACTGTTGGACAAGACTACTTTTAAAAGAATGACTTTTAAAGAAAAGGCGAGAAAGCGAGACGGAGCTGAGTCAGGGGTGGTGACGGGATTTAAAAAGAGCGCACATCCCCCTGAAATCTGCACCTTTGTTTATGTCGCGCAGGGTTTGAACCTCGCCCGGGGCTAGAACATTACATTTCCACTCAACACACATTATCCAGGTAATAAAACGCGACAGAGCTCTGGTACCGAGCACTAACCGGATAATTGTCCCTCTGTGTTAGAAAGATAACCGGCTTAACTGATTCAGAGCATCTCAAGTTGCACAGCAGACACACCGTGTTTAACGCGTGACATCATCACCATCATCACGTATACACAGCATGCTTTTAGCTGTCTGACCCCGAAGAGGAAACTGAGGTACAGCCAGCCTGTTTTATGGAGGGTGTGTGTGTGTGAGAGAGAGAGCGAGAGACACTCACTTGACCGGAGCAGAGCGAGAGTAAAGAGCAGATCTCATCTTTGCGAAGTGACAAAAGCAGGAGTCTTCTTTCTTTCAGTGGAGACACGTCGATCAGAGCTCGATGGTGTGTTTTTATTATTGAGCTGCGCTTTAAAGTCAACTTTACAAAAAGAAGAAAAAAAAGTGAAGTGCAGCTGGACGGAAAATTTAAGGCGTGAATTGAAGAAGTTGGTCGCTCAGTGGGAAGTGAAAACCGTCATTTGCGTAATATTTTTAAGTCGACTTTTTCTGTCGCCTCGTTTCATCAAGTGCCTTTGGATATCAAAATTTTGCCATTTGTAGGAAAGGAAGCCTGCGGAGCGAAAGGTAAGCCGTGCGCGCCGACTGACTGCATCTTGCGCAAAAATGAATTAAACGCAGACTTCACTTTCACTGGCAGTGCTTTCAGTTTTCACACTATGAACACGTGAATGAACATTTTCATGTAACAGTCGTATTTTGTTTTAGTGCCCACGGCAAGATGAGAAACAGGTGAGGTTTCTGTGGAAACTGATGTCTAGTGCGTATTTGCATACTGTGGGTTTTCTCAGAGGCTTGCAGAAAAAAAGTCTGCTGATAGTGATTCCACAAAATCCCCGGTGAGCTTATTATAACACTTAACCTAATAAATGAAATACTTCATCTCTTAAACCTGTATTGCGACCTGGGCTTCCTCTGCAACCGGAAGACTCGAGATTCAGTAATAAAACAGCTGTAGTGCAGTAATTAGTTTATGTTGCACAGAAATAATGCAGCTTTGCTTGTCCTCACAATCAATTACATCATGTTCAAGTGCAAAAGAAGAAGAAGAAAAGACATAAAAAGCAAAAACAAACGAGCAAAACATTACCATCACAGTATCAGGTACCCCTGTTGTCCTGCAATCATTGTTTTTATGACACATAATCTGAATAATTCTTCTAAAATGCAACATATGAAATGATAACAGCACTGCTGGCGCTGTGGTCCCTCTATTAAAGTGTCAAATGTTACATATGCTTAAATTAATTTGTTTTTAACAAGTCTCCTCCCTAAGGTGTAGTAGCATGTACATGTTAGAGTGGAGGATGTTGATTCATAAACTGGTGACAGTGGTCACAGAACAGTGTGACATCATCTGTGAAGTCAAAGATGTTACCTAGCAACTAGAGACCTTGTGAAATGGGAACACCACTCATTCAAAGTACCCCGACCGGACAGTGCACTTGGTCAGGGCCTGAGCTGCACAGCCACCAGGTCTGAGGCAGAAAGAATAAACGTTTGTCTCCATGTGAAGAACACACATACAGAGATTCCTTGATTTATTAGCGAGATTGCCACAACAGGTGCGGGGGTCACTGTGCACAGCTGCTTTCTGCCCCTGGTGTCTTCATGTGAGTAACTGTGGCCATGAGTCAAGTGCAGACACAAAGGCAGAGTCAAGTGGACTGTGTCACACAGCAGTGACCACTCTACTTTACTCGTCTTTTGTGATTTGTTACAGGCTGTTACTTGATGTAGGACACATATTCAGTGTGTGTTTAGTTTCATCATAAACTGGGTGTTGTTTAAGACTGGTTTTATAAGTAGACATCAGTTAACTGTCACTGTTTAGACCAGTAGGCCTGTTTTCAACACTTACCACAAAATATCCATAACTTTTTTCTAACCATTCATCTAGAAATGTTTCCATTTTTTTCAGCAGTTGCGTATCCATACAATTTTGAACCATTAGTTTTTATCTTTAGCTTTCATTTATCCAGTTCTATGCTACACGACTCTAAGCTACACATTTAAGTATTTATCTACTATGTCTAATTTAACAACTATGACCTGCTTCAACCACTACCTACTCTTGTCGTTAGCTTTAGCAATTTCACCTGTAATATCCAAATATTTAGTTACTACTTTTATCCAATACCATTATCCAGTTTACAGCTACCTGCTAATTCCAGCTAACAGGTATTTATTCATAATTGCAATGCCCTATTTTCACTCATTTATCCATCTGTTTTAGGCTACTTTAAATCCCTGTTGTCCAGTAGCTTACTCTTCGCTATCAGTATATTTTTAACTATATCTAGAGCCTAAGCTAATGGTTTAAGCTAACACTCGTTTTGTTTGAAGGGTGTCTCTCCCTTTGTGTCTTTACTTTTTACATTTTCAGCTCTAAGTCATTACAAATTGTGAAGCCAAAAATTGGCATATAGCTAACAATGACATTGCCTTGATAATAAATCGGTCAGACTTGAAAATCCATTTTTTTTAGCTAATTGTTTTAGCCCAGTTGT